TTAGGAAAGTTTTGTTTTGATAATATTTCATATTTGCAAAATAATCTTAAAAGATCACCTATGTTTGCAAATGATTCCCGTGCACGAGCTAATGGTCCACAAAAACAAATGGATCTCTTTCATTGCACGTATTGCAATCGGAAGGGTCATTTGAGCGATTATTGCTTTGACTGTGTTAGTGCACCACATATGCCCAAGAGGGTTCATAATCCTAGGGCTTTGAGCTTTAATGATAGGGGTCATGTCCCTAAATCTTTTGGTACCAAGAGTTCTTGGATATCAAAACAAATTTGATTTTTAAACCAAGAATTTTAATGTCTTATTTTTTTTGTTTTGAAAATTATGCTTTGAAACTTTTTATGAAAACAAATTTTCTTTGATCAATTTTTTTTTTTTGTTTTCATGATTATTAGTTTCGATCTTGTTGAGAGGCTTGTAGTTATATACCCTCCGGGTTTATTAGGTGTTTATTCCCAAATCATGTTTACCGGATGCTTAAATATTCATATGGGTTATTACTAGCTCAAGAGCTAGATATAATTGCCTCTCATGATTTTTTGAATCAATGATGATTTGGTCTTACGTTTTTGGATTTAAACTTTAATTTATGATTTCTCTTGGTTGATTTGTTTTCATTTGAAAACTTTTTACATGATTCTCATGTTTCTCTTCTTTTGATTTCATAAATCTGCCTTTACAAATGGTTTTTATGTTCATTGATATGAGACACTATTTTCTTCACTTTGATATATTTATATATGTTCTCATTTGTCTTTATGTATGTGAGTTGTGTTTAGCATACTTTCCATCTATGTTTGCTCACATATGTTTGCCATGATCTTCATTACATATATTCATGAGGCATTTTGATAGGGGGAGCAATCCCTATATCTTTCTATGTATTATACTCACCCATGCATATTGATAGGGGGAGCTTTCGCTCTCTTCATCCTTTTGTCTCATTTTTGATGTTATCAAAGGGGGAGAAATATTGTGAGTATATTCTTTCTTGTTTATATGCATGTGAATTATAAATTATATATTTATTTTCTTCATGCATATATTTCTTTTTGTAAATTGTTTGTCATCATCAAAAAGAGGGAGATTGTTGGCCTTCTTGTTTTGATGATATTTAACAAACAATTTACCACTAATGTTGTTTGTTTAGTATTTGCGTTTTCTTATTTATTATAGACAAACAACGTAGTTGGAGGATGGATGGAATAGAGCCACAACGATCATATCCAATGGAGGTTGGCGGAATAGTAGGTGAAACTTATGCAATTCAAGTTCAAGATCCAAGTTCACCTTCATCCGCACAGTGTACCAAGTTGAGCTACAATGAAGATCAAGATCAAGCTTGGGTAATCTAGTTTAGATTTTATATTATGTGTGTTAGATACTCTAAGCTCAATATCATATACACACACATTTATTGGTTTCTTCGTATGTATATATATATATATATATACATGTGTTTTTGAGTTTTCATGTTTATAAATATGAAATCACATGTTTCATATTTATTATTGTGTTTTAGTATATATTGCATAGAATATGCAATTTTGTGAAAATATTGTTTTTTTAGTTTTTGGACTTAACAATAATCATATACATATTTTATTAAGTCTACAAAATCATTGTGCAAAGTTTCAAAACATGGTTTAGCCTAAATGTCAAAATTCATATGTTTACATTTTCGTGTTTTGGACTATTTTGCAAAATGATGATATTTTTCATTTGGGAAGTCCTTTTTGGAAACCAGTCATTGTAGCATGTTTATTATCATGTCTATAATCATTCCCCAATGTTTTACATTTTTTAGAATTTATTTGATATTTTTAAACTGTGTTTTAAAATCAGAAAAATAGTTTTCAGACTTCATTTTCATGTATCAGTCATCGGTCGACCGCACCGATCGACCGCACCGATCGACCGCACCTGTGTTCCTTCGTCAGTGGACAGTAGAGAGTTTGTCGGTCGACCGCCGTGGTCGACCGAGAGCTCGAGACTTCCCACGGTCGACCGAAGAAGTCTCTGCTCGTTTTCCCAGTTTGGGATCTGGATCACGGTCGACCGTGAATTTTTTCGGTCGACCGCCGCACTGTCAACTCAGTTCCAACGGCTATTTTTAGAGCCGTTGCAGAGTGGTTTTTTTGGTCTTTTTCCTGGCTTTCTCTTACCTTTGGGGTTTCATATAAATACCCCCTTACCTCAGTTTTTACAAGAGAACAATAAGAATGTTTGAAACAAGTTTAAGAAAGTTTTAAAAGAGTTTAATTTTGGTTTTAAGTTTGTTTAAGGGTTTGGTTTGTGAAGAATTTCATAAGAGGAAGTGGAGATCAATTCATTGAGCTTCAATCCATCTCTCTCTCTCTCTCTTGTCATCTAGAGAAGTTTTCCTAAACTCAACTCTAGCTTTTATTTATAATTATTTGTTGATTATCATTTTTATTAAAGCTAGTTTTTATATTGAGTTTAGATTTGATTTATCTCTTTGTTACACATACCCACTTGAGCTTATTGTATTTTCATACATAGTATTAGGGTTGTGAGAGATTGTAACATTGAGTTGTGCTTAATTGAGTTCTCCCCTTGTATGAGAGAACAAATCATTTATTGTTACATTATGAGATTGTAAGGTTTTCGGTGAGCTAGAAAACCGAGTGTGTTGTGAAGTTTTCGGTGAACTAGAAAACCGAATGTGAGGAGTGAACGTTGTTCGGTGAGCGTTAAAAACCGACACTGTGAGGTGTAAACGTTATTCGGGTGAGCATAGAAAACCCGGTTGTGATAGTAGATTTCTCCCCGGGAGTGGGGAGCGGAGACGTAGGATGGAAGGTCCGAACTCCGTGATCATTTGATTGTGTTTGAGTGTGCTTTGGCGTTTATTTATATTTGTGTTCATTGCTCATATCGTCATTGTCTCATTATTTATTTCATCCACTATCTAGTTCATTTTGTTTACCCTTGTGTTAGTTTACATATCCTTGCATATATCATATTGTTTATCTCTTTGGTAGGATATATCATCTTGTGCTAGTTTATATATCCTTGCTCATATATTTGTAATATCTCATTGCTAGGATATATTCATTTGTTCATGTTGCTTATCCTAGCTCATTTATCTTGTTGTATTTCATACTTGCTAGGATAACTTGTTAATTGATTTTATTTAGCATATAATCGGATTAGATTAGCATAAGACCCTAATCATCCCCCCTCTAGGGTCTAACATAAAGGAATCCATAAACTTAATATAAAATTTCATATAAATAATTTTTTTATAGAAACTAAAGTGAAGCTATTGATAAAGTACATTGCGAGATATAATAAACTAAGATGAGAAAAATCACTATAATGGATAAAAAATATGCACATGATACTTAGTTACCATAGTGTAAGTAAAAAAATTAAAATTAAAAATTTTCTTTTCTCTATATAATGGCACGACTCTGCAAGTATCCTTATTTGGGGATATGACTACCAACGAAAGATCATTTTTAAGAAAACGATCAAAGATAAGCATGTAATAGTACTGTCAGATTTTAAGATCTTTAAATATGAAGGTAACATATTTTACAACTAAAATTCTTATTAAAGACCACTAAATATAAAATTTATCTTATACCTATCTCAAATTTGTATGAAAGATATGCATGTCATCGTAAATTGTGTTAATAATATATCAAACATCCATATAACACGATAAAGCAAACAACCATATAACATGATAAAGAAAAAATATTACACTTTAAAGCTAATATGCATGGCTCATTCAGAACAAACTGCTAAAACAAAAGCATCTCCATCAAGGCTCTTTATAAATACAACACAAATTTAAATTATTTAATATTTTTAAAAATAGCTTAATTTTTTGAGTAAAATCAGGAATCTTTAGAAGTGATTTTCATGAACTATTTTAATTTTTTTATATGGTTATGTGAATGCTTTTATCATATAAAAGTATACTAGAGCTAGTATTAATATTTATTTTATGATTTTTTCTAAAGTCTATCAGTGATTAGCAACAAAATTTATATTCTCTTTAGTTTCATTCTAGCCTACTTTTAATTAATCATCTTGTCTTATTAGCTTTAATTATTCATCCTTCTTTTATAACATTATTTTTTCAAGTGTTTTTCACTTTTACAACATTATATCTTCTTAAGTCAAGCTTGGTTTCATGCCGATCTAAATAACGCGAAAATTCAAATTTGCTTTAGATTATAGTTATTTTGTCAATTCAATTATTACATGAAAATTTTAAGTTTGGTGTAGCCCATTCAAACAAATATTAAAATAATAAATAATCACAATAGTAAAAAAAAGTTTGAAAACATATATGAGAAAAAAATCAAAATGGAACTGAGAAATAAATTTTATTAAAGAAATAAGTCAAAAATACTTAATCATAATATTTAATCACGTGCATTACACTTGCATAAATCCTAGTTAAAAATAAATAAACGAAGAAGAATCCTCTCTCCGAATCTTTTTTTTGGTCAATGAAAATTTTTATTCATTACCAAGTATGAAAATGAATTATATTCCCAAATATCAAATCAGAGCCTGTAGTAGCTCCAATCCCTCATGCCAATCTCTCAATATGTTCCTTTACATGAATTGGAATTTTTACATTCAGAAGCTTGGAGTATAAACTGAATTTTAGTGCACGAAAGAGAGTATCAGAATCTCGTGCACGTCCTTGGAAAATCCTAAGGTTCCTCTCCTGCCAGAGTATATAAACTGATGCTGATAAAACCATCCTTTTAAGCTTAGCTTTAAAGCCAGTCCCTCTCAAACTCATACTAAACCAAGTTGAAAGATGATGCCAGCTACACGTCTTCCAATTAAAGCCAACCCAGTCCATTACTTTATTCCAAAATGTCGATGAGTATTGACATTCAAAGAATAAGTGTTTGCAGGTTTCTCTTTGATTGATATCAGAACATAGAACACTGATTTGAATTAAGAATCCTCATTCTGCACAGTCTATCTTAAGTTAACAACCTTGAGATGGAAGCCAACCATAATATGAAGGAATGTTTAGGATAGTGCCAACCACCCCAAATAGTTCCTGATATTGTTGAAGGAACCTGCTGGTTAAGTCTTTTATACATAGCTGATATGCTAAAATTATCTCCAGTGCAGCAATTATTGATGACTGAAAGCATATTATCAATACTACCAAACTTCAAAGATAACAAGTCCCTTACTTTCAGAATTTGTTTCCACATCCAAGAGTCACTTTTCCTGTTTTGCACTTGCCAAACATTATTCTGCCGCAAATAGTTTCCATGTATCCATTTAATCCACATGATGTCTTTCTTATTATGGATCATCCAAAGCAGCTTAGCAGCAGAAGCAAAGTTCCAAAATTTTGCTGAATACACCCCCAAACCACCCTGTTTATGATCCTGACAAATTGCAGACCAAGCCACCAAGTGCATCTTATGTCCCCATAGGAAATCAACACACATCTTATCTATCTTCTCTAGAACTTTAATTGGAAGAATGTAATTACTTGTCCAAAACATTTGAATCCCCAGGATTACTGACTTTATCAATTGCAGTCTCCCTGCATAAGATAGAGTTTTGTTATTCTGCCAATTTTGAAACTGAGAGGATATTCTGCTTATAAGAGGAGAACAGTCAAGCCAAGATAATCTTTTTGTGATAAGTGGAACTCCCAGATATCTCAATGGTAGAACCCCTTCAGAAAATTTGAGATATGAGCATATTTGAGCTTTCAAAACCTCATCAATACCACTCAAGAACACTGAGCATTTAGCAGGATTTGGTTCCAAACCTGAAACTTGACTAAATTCCATGAGACACTCATTTAATCTAGTAATTGAACTCATATCTGCTTTACCAAATAGCAGGATGTCATCTGCAAAAATCAGGTGTGAAATTTTCAATCCATTGCATTTAGGTTAAAATTTATATAGCCTGTCACCCTTAAGAGTATCCAGCTTCCTAGATAAATATTCCATGCCGATTACAAACAGATATGGAGACATAGGATCACCTTGCCTTAATCCTCTAGCACCTTGAAAATATCCATGCAAAGTTCCATTGATTGACAGAGAGTATTTTGGAGTAGAAATACATTCCATTATCCATCCAATCATGTTATCAGGAAAACCCAGCCCTATCAACATACTCCTGATGAATTCCCAGCTTATTGTGTCAAAAGCTTTCCTCAAATCTATATTTAGAATGGCTCTTGGAGATGTATTTTTCCTAGTGTAATGTTTGATGAGATCATGAGCTAGAAGAATATTGCTGGAAATAAGCCTCCCCTTTACAAATGCACTTTGAGCATCACTAATCAAGTATCCCATAATCTTCTGAATCCTCCTTGAAATGATTTTGAAATGATTTTGTAAACACAATTACAGCAAGCTATTGGCCTAAAATCAGTTGCATTTTGAGGATTGAGCACTTTAGGAATCAGTGTGATAGCAGTGGAATTGAATGTACCCAACAATTTACCAGAATTAAAGAATTCTTCAATTGCTTCATAAAGTTCCTCTTCAATTATACTCCAAGAAGCTTTGAATAAATAAGCACTAAAGCCATCAGGTCCAGGACTTTTTTCATTTGGTATGGAGAAAACTGCTTGTTTAATTTCCTCCCTAGTGACAGGAGAACTGAGCATATTCCTATGATCAGGCGAGAGTAAAGGGCCATTGGATATTACCTCTGGATCAGGCAGTAATGTAGATGTTGAAGTACCAAGAAGGTTTTTATAAAAATCCAGGAATTCAGAAACAATATCTGACATCTCTGTTAATCTGTTCCCAGCCCTATCATACAGAGTCATGATTCTGTTATGATGCCTTTTATTCTTCATCACAGAGTGAAAGAAATGAGAGCTTTTATCTCCATGAATCCCCCAGTTAATTTTAGCTCTCTGCCTATAGAATGAGATTTCACAGTCCAGGAGTTTAACATATTTCTTGGAGCTTTCTTTTTTCCTTTTGTATCAAGGTTGAATTGAGAGGATCTTCATTAAGTTGCACCTGAATATCTGCAAGCTCTTTTTTAGATCTAAGAACTTGTTCACTAATATCCATGAAGTATTTTTTGTTTAACTCCTTTAGGGCTGGCTTGAGTTTCTTGAGCTTAGTATGAAGTTTGAACATCATATAACCATGAATATCCTGATCCCAAATTGAGCTGACAGTTTTAAGGAAGTCAGGATGTTTGACCCACATATTGTAAAATTTAAAAGGTTTTTTTCCTTCAATAATATCATCACCTATAGTAAGGAGAGCAGGAGAATGATCAAAGCACCCTGGCATGAGGTAATCAACTTGGTTAGATGTAAACTGCTGAATCCACTCATCATTAATCAAGCATCTATCCAATCTGGACCAAATTCTTGTGTTAGCATCTTGTTTATTGCTTCAACTAAAGTAGCATCCAGTTGATCTTATGTGCATCAATTGACATGAGTTGATGAAATCCTAGAAGTCTACAGTTTCAGCTTCAGTGACAGGAAGACCCCCAATCTTCTCCTCACTACTAATAATTGAATTAAAATCACCTCCAATAAGCCAGGGGCAATTAACATTGTGCTTGAATTCCAGAAGATCATTCCATAAAGATCTCCTATTAATCTGTTGGTTCAGAGCATAGACTATAGTACAGAAACAAGAAATCTTGCCATCTTTAGACTCTATTGAGCAGGTCAAGAATTGCTCTGAGGATTTAATGATATGAACATTGATGATATCATTATCCCACAAAATCCAGATTCTACAATTTTTAGCTTCTTGCACATTAGAATTCCATTGCCAATTTGTTGTAATTTTCCTTGATATAAACTGTAGTTTACTTTCAGACAATTTTGTTTCCAGAAGAGCAAGGAATGAAAGATGATACTCTTGAATAAATTCCTTCACTATCTTATGCTTAGAGGATTTATGAAATCCTCTAATGTTCCAGATAGCTAAATGCATTAGTTGGACAATCCTCCCCTATCCACACTTGATGGATCATTTTGTTGCTCCAGGAGTGAAAATTGAGATACTTTAAAAGTAAAATCACCCGGATCAGAAACATTTACTCTCCTTGCAAATCTCCCTTTATTAACACTAGAAAAACCAGTAGTGTGTATTATAGGAGATGAGAATCTGTTTAACTGGTTTCCAGAATCTTGCCGTGCATGCTTTTGTGCATTAAGACTATTTGCTTGCCTGAGATCTGGAGAAATCTGAATATCAATTGATTGATGTTTCTGAGCAAAAGAAGCACCAGAACTCCTTTCCTGTACACTTGAAACTTGTTGTGCATGTTTTTGTGCATCAAGACCAATTGCCAGTCTTAGACCTGAACAGTCTTGAACATCTTTTTGTGCATTTTCCTGTGCTAGGGAAGGACCAGAACCAGAGATTACTGAATTCCCCCCTCTAATATCCTGATCATTCTGCCCCATTGAGTCAGAAAACCCCTGTCCAGGTATCACTTGTCTTGTAGAATCAACATTATCTTTATTCTGAACATGCTCAGGGTTAATTCCAGTCTGTTTACTAATAGGGACCCAAACCTTAGTGGTTTTCTTTCTCCTGCATTGCTCTGTATCATGACCAACCATATTGCAGAAAGAACACCATTTTGGCTTAAATTCATACATCACTGGTTGCTTATAACTTCTCCCATCTAGACCTTGAATATTCAAAAAATCAGGCAGTGGCTTTTGTAATGGCAGTTTCACTTCAAGTAAGACTCTAGCATAAGATAGTCTTTGTCTAGTTGCTGTAAGCTTATCTGTAGCAATAGGTTTACCAATTAGGCTAGCAACCTTACTAATACCAGTTGAGCTCCATAGATTTAATCTCAAATTTGGAAATTACACCCACATTGGATAATAGAAATCCTTCAGTTTTTCCATGTCTATATCTATGCTCCAAGGCATTAACATAAGGGGCCTAGAGCCAAAAAACCAAGGCCCAGCTTCCAGAACATCCCTCTTGTATTTATCTGATTGAAAATCAAACAGAAAAACACCTTGTTTGATTAGGGAAACCTTAGGAATAGAGATATTACCCCATAGTTTGTTCACATAGGATTCTATAGATTTATATTATTAAAGTATTCCTCCAAAGTTCTTCACCTTCATTCCACTCCTCAACAGAGAAAGAAACTGTATCAGATTTAGAAGATGGTACAAAACTAAGAGACAAACCATTTCCTGATTTCCTGTTATCAGCAAAGAGACTGACAAAAGATTTACCAGAACCAGATCCTTTTCCCTCCGTTTTCTCTTCATTAGCATAATCTTGAGTTTTACCCACTCCATTCTCCTCTGTTTCCAGATTTGAGTTAATAGGTTTTTTGGATCCCAACTCAGGTTGGCAAACTGTAGATTTACTAACATTTGGATGAGTATCAGATCTAGTATCCTCAGTTTCATTCATATCAGTCAATGGAACAGTAGTATTCAAATTTTTTGATCCTGAATCTGGACCAAGAGCAGATTTAGAAGTAAGAATCTGAGACAAAGGGAGATCAGATATCACCTCCATGTCGACCTCTTCAGCCCAGGAAACCCTCGAAGAGCTAGGTTCATTACTTTTGCAGAGATTACGAGCTTGGATACCTTCCTTCAATGGAGAAGAGAGAGTCGATTCGTACAAGAAATCAGTAGATCTGAGGATTTCTTCCATGGATTTCTTCTTCTTTTCACCTTTAGGTCCAGTCGAGCCTATTACATTAGGGCTGAGATCTTCTTCATCTTCCTCCAAATTAACATCAAATTGATCCTCAAGAATAGGAGAATAAGAGCTTGAAGACCTTAATCCAATGTTTAGGATACTTCTTCCCTCCTTCTTCTTCTTCCTCGCCATTGAAAACCAGGGGGGGGGTGCAAGTTAGCAGAAAATAAATCTCCCGCTAACGTACACCTTCAGACAGCCCGCCCTTCCCTCTCTCCGAATCTTGATAGGCTTTGGGATCCTCCATTAGTTTTTTAATCTATTTATTGTATCTGATAACATTATACAATAGACCAATTCATGCCTTCAAAAAAGGTGCAAATCCGTTATTTTTTAATCATAATCTTCATTTATTCAGTAGAAATTTGTGATTTATGTAGAAAAATGACGATGACCAGGAGGGCAACTCCCAAGCCAATCTATTAATGCAGTATATGCGTATCTATCTGACAGGGCCAAAGTTGAAGACTTTGTAAGCCCACGTGTAAGCAGTTATCAAATGGGAACCCATGATCTATTGGGCATTCTCATTGGAAGGCTACTCCGTCATGGGTCCCATAGCCTAGTTAGGTTAGCTCGGCCCATATAATGCATTTTTGCCTGGGCCCGTTGAACTTGGGCTCAGGAGTGTCAACCGGTTCGTGCTGCGTGGCTACTTTGATTCCCTTGACACAACCTCAGTCTGCAACCTTATAGAAATTTGTAAGGTTTTGCATATATAACACCCCCCTGAACTCTCTATAAATCATAGAAAACTCCTATGAACTTCTGAAATAATGCTAACATCCCTTGAATTCTTGGATAATCTCATTTGAAAAAAAATTATAATCTCTCACTTCTTCTTCTCAATAATTTAGGGGAGTCGAATGCGAATCTCTCATACCGTAGTCACATCTGCATTAAAACAGTTAATGCGCTGATGTGGATCCAATGAGCCTCTAAAGTCTCAAATATCGACTAAAAATGAAATCACATGCACTCTACAAACCTTAGCTTAAAAAGAGACAAATATAAGCAAGGGTTGGGGGCTAATTGGGTACAGAAGCATGTTACGTGGGTCCCCAGTCATTTACTAAAAGGGTGGCGGAGAACTCTGAACCTGGTTACAAATGGTTGAGAGAGACTTTGATGGCGTATCTTTTCACTTGATATATATAATGACACCAAAATTAATATTTTAGAAAATTAGAAATATGTTGAGAGGTCAGAATCCAAATTTCCATCTCTCTATATTTTAGGATTTATAATAAAATTGGTACTCATTAAAATTAACTTGTTAGAAAAACTTAAGCACATTTTATCAATTAAAAAGTACTTAAGTACAAGCAAGTACAGGGCCGGCCCTGGGCATAGGCGGGATAGGCCTTCGCCTAGGGCACCCAAAAAACAAGGGCCCCCAATGTAATATTTGATATATTTTAGATAGATATATATATGGAAAAGTAAGAGGACTTTTGTGCAAAATTGTTAGAGGGTTCTAATAGCATAATGGATTCCTATAGCATTTCCTCTCCTCCCATCCCTATTTTAGTTGCTGCTGACCGCTCTCACAAAAAAAAGAGAGAAAACCCTAGGTCTCTCTCTCTCTAACCTCTCTTCTTCCAATCGCCCGCCGGCTTGTCCTCCTCCCTCTCGCCCACCGGCCACCGCCATTGACCAAGGTTAGAGCTTCTCACTTTATCTGTAATTTCTCAGTTCTCACTAGGGTTTAGGAATTAGGGCTTTGTGGAATTAGGGTTTAGGAATTAGGGCTTTGTGAAATTAAAATTGAAATTGATTAGGGTTTTGTGAATTAGGGTAGAATCAAACGGGATTTGGCGGATTGTCAAGAAAGAAAGCATCTTCAAAGTTCAAACTTTGAAGAAATTGTAAGATCTTTTACCTATACAGATTTTATTGTTTAATTTCAAATTTCAATTTAAATATTTGATATATTTTAGTCCCTAACATGCTTTTTGGTAGGAATTCTTGATTAATTTATTTTTCTCGATATTTATTAGATTGTAACAGATTTAGAATTAAATTTGGATATCATGCATCCTCGAAAGTATATGTCTAGACATGATAAGCGGATAAAGAAACAAAAAATTGAAGAATTCAATCGATCTCAAGCGGGAGCACTTGAAAAATTTATTACTGGTAGTAGAAATACATATTCTAATTTAGTTCAAGATTCGGTGAATGTTGAAAATGAGCAACCTGAAAATCAAGAAAGTGAGGATTTGGTTAATGAAAATTTGAATGATAATAGAAATTCCATTGAAGAATGTGAAGAACCTAGCAATGTAAATGAACATGAAGGAAATGTAAATGAACATGAAGATTTGGTACAAGAAGAAAATCTTGAAATAAGGCCTTCAAACATAAATGCCCCATGAAATTGGAAAAATATTGATCAAATATTGAGAGACTTACTAGTTGAAAGAGGTCCCAAAAGAAATGATAATCTTGATTTTCCGAAAGATTCAGAAGGCAGACATTTCTCCTCAACACATTACATTCGTAACTTATCCAATGGTGAACATCATGATAGAAAATGGCTAATCAATTCAAATTCTTTGGACAAGGTTTTTTGTTTTTGTTGTAAGTTGTTCAAATATGATGCAAACAAAATTCAATTGGCAAATGATGAAGTTAGAGACTGGAGAAATCTCAGTCCCAGACTTAAAAGTCATGAAACAAGTAGTGAACACATTGTTAACATGAAGAGTTGGATTGAATTAGAGATCGATCAGATTACGACAAAATGCGAGAATCGATAAAAGTGTTGAAGAACAAATCAACAAAGAACGAGAACATTAGAGAAAAGTACTATTGAGAGTAGTTGCTGTTGTGAAAACACTTGCTAAAAATAGTTTGACATTTCGTGGAGATAATGAGAAGCTTTATGGAGAAAATAATGAATTTTTTAAGTATAATAGAAATGATTGCCGAATTTGATCCAATAATGAAAGAGCATGTTCGTCGAGTTGTATAATAGAAATGATTGCCGAATTTGATCCAATAATGAAAGAGCATGTTCGTCGAGTTCAGGAGAAAGAAATTCATTATCATTATCTTAGTCACAAAATTCAAAATGAATTTATTCTTCGAATAGCAGATGAGATCAAAAGTTTAATCATCCAAAAGATTAAAGAAGCAAAGTACTTTTCTGTTATTATTGATTGTACTCCGGATGCAAGCCATGAAGAGCAAATGTCACTTATATTAAGATGCGTGAATATTTCAACAAGCACAATAAAGAT